ACCAAAGTCAATTAGCATGCATCACAAACCAAGTAATCAAGTGATCAAAGATTATGCAAAAATGAACATGATCATACAATGCCAAAATGCGAACAAATATGAAATCGATAAAGTCAGGCATTGGAAAATGCACAAGCATGCTTCAAACATAAGTTAAAACATCCATAAACATTAAGCATATCAATCCATGAGAATTGAAAGAGGAAGAAATGCCAAACATACATGAAAAATGCACAAAAATGGCCTTCTGGACCAGTGTTAATTGATTAACACTGACGCAGAGCCTGAAAATTGAGTTTTCAAAAGCACTTTTGTCCATTTTGATTTGTGTAATCCTTCACCTGTTAGGGAAATCAATCATGCACGAAAATCAGAAATAAAAACAGAAAATAAGCACTTATGGAATCAATTAACACGTCAAGAATGAAAATCAAATCATGGCATAATCAATTCACAAACGAGAAAAACATCGAAACCACATTGCAAACGATACGGTAACGATCAAAACAGTGAAAAGAGTGAGAATTAACCAACTACGAGGCTGAGATTTGCCTTGGATGTTGTTGCAAAGAGAATTTGATGAAGTTACTCAAAGAAATCCAGAGAAAACATAATTCACAATCGAACCGTAGCGAAACCGAGCAAATTCCGACGAAAACTCCAAAATTGAATTTACACCGAATAAGCTTGAAGTAATCACTTGAGATGAATCCAAATGCAATAAAAATCCAGAAAAGCAACAAGGATTTGTAAGATGATGATGGCTAAGCTCAAGAGAAAACACTTCTAATGAAGAAGTTGCTGCTCTTTAATGGAGGTTTTGAGGTCTAGTAAGGTTTTGGATGAAAGTGAAGAAGATTATGAGTAGAAGATGCAGAAAATTCAGAGAGAATGTGAGAGAATTAAGAGTGATCAAGTGTGAAAATTTATGAGAATGATTGAGCCTAAAAAATGGTTCTCCCTTGTGAAATGGTGATGATTTGCTTATATAGAGTTTTGCTTCGGAGTTGCTAGGTTCGGAGTGAACTTTGGATGTAGCCTTGAAATTAGCCTTGGAGTTAGTTAGCCTCAACTCACTGAGTTGGAGGTTAACTCATTTAGTTAGGTAGTTGACTCGGTAACCATCCCAATGAAAACTTGAATCTAAGGGCTCACATACTTGGAAATGAAGCAACATGGTGGTCTCAATCCAAATTAATGTATTGAAGCAAATGCCTTGAAGTGTTTAGAAATGCCTTGAAGTGTCTAGAGTTGTCTAGAATGTTTCACGCAATGCTAGAACAATGTAGACCCTAAATATGAGAAGTGGACGTTGTTGTCCTAAAAATGCAGCAGATTCTGCAAATTTTGCAAGGGTTAATCGATTAACCCACCTGCACTAGCAAATGGTTAATCGATTAACCAGGCTAAAACTTGCCCAATTTTTCCTGAAAATGATGTTATAGCCATGGCTCTGATTTTCGACCTCTTGCTCTAGTGAATAGGTATAGAAACCTTTATTTTGTGCTTGTTTTGATGATGTGATATCTTTGAGATAATCTGATTAATCGGACCTGAAAAACCTGAAAGTTCCTGCAACAAAGATCACAGAGAAAAAGCGAATGCGTATGTCAGCGATGCAAATGCACATGTTTATGCAAAAGGAAAAAAGAGGAGGTCAAATTTTGGGTTATGACAAGACCTCGTGGGCTTGGGCTCTTGAAGCGCAATTCATTAAGAATCAACTTGAAATCATAAGCATAATCTTCTGCATAAAAATATAAACAAAATACAATATTAGGTATATTAGGCTGGGTGTCAGTGTCAAGTATCTCAGACAGGGACTTAGAGTCAGGTATCTCTGACAGGATGTTAGGTATCTCAGGTTGGCCCTCATTTTGTTGTTCATTGGGTTGGACATAAATTAGTATAAGTTGGACTTCAACTACTTCTACTACATCAGGTTGGGAAATAGGTTGAACTATGTATAGATCTACCTTTTCATTAAGTTTGGACCAAATTAGCAGTTCTATTGCACCAAAGTAATTAACTAGCTCCTTTAATGTACCAGTAAAATCATACCACATTTCAAGTACACCAGAATACCCCATTTCTTTAAAACACCAAAAATTTCAAAATAACTCCATCTATCACCATCACACTTACAATTTAGCAATATCCCTCCTACATATGTACCCATATCATCAAATTGTCCCCCATGATGAAAGTCAACATAAAAAACATCCACTTTTACAAGAGAGTTGTACGCTGTAGAAATCGGTAGAGCTATAAGGGATTACATACAAAACCCTAGACTCTAATAAAACAAATACATGTTCGATATGGAAAACGATACATACTTCAACGTTCAATGTTTCACTTCTGCGTTCGTCTCCCTCGAATCCTTCTTCTGCCTTCTTTGTTTATAGTTCTCCTCTTTCACGTTTAGGGTTTCATCTCCCTTCTTCATTCGCAACAACTCCTTTCCCATTCTCAGTTTGGAATTTTAAGGATTAAGTTTAGGGATGCTGCTTAATAATTAAGGGATTTTGTCTAGATTAATTTAAAACAATTACATCTCAGCAATGTTCTAGCCATCTCAACAACGTTACGGTCACATAAGCACCGTTAATGACAGTTGTGCATTTTTGAAACGGAATCATAAAAAACGGTCAATGTTATGTAACTTAAAGAACTGACATGTAGAAAAAAAACACTTAAAAAACCAACTTATTACAATTAAATAACTCAAAGGACCATAATATAATTAAATTTTATTTTTATCAAACAGAGCTAACAAATATTAAATGTTACTAAACTTTCTATTTTAGTAAACTTTATTTTGTTATTATAAATTTTATTTAACTTTGACAATACTGCCATTTATTACAAGTGAAAAAAATTAATTATAATATTAAATTTGTTGACAAATTATTAGAGGTGGCAAAGCGGGCGGCCCGCCCTTTTTAGGCATGTCTCATTTAAGTCCGTTCAAAAGTGGGGCGGGACGGATTAATTTAGGCGTCCAACCTCAAAAGTCAAATTCGTCGTGTTTACTAACAAGTTGGCGGGTTGGCTCGCCAATTTTTCTTTTACAATTTAATTTACAAAACTGTTAATCATTAACAAAGAGACCGACAAATTTTAACAACACATAGTGAAACTTTAACAATTTTTAATGTAAATGTCATATTTTTCAACATAAACAAAAAAAATGTAACTATAATACAAAAAACTTAAAACAAACACACTAAAATCCCAAAATAATCCTTTCGGTTCAAAAATTCAACAAGCACAACTTAGTTAAGGACATGTAGGGATACAAATCAAGAAAACTTACTAGCACAAGCTATACAAAGACAACTAAGAACCAATAACAAAAAAACAATCTTAAATACTCCATGACAAACACTTCATCAATCATCATCTATGTCGTGAACATACAAAACTTCAAATGATATCGTAGCCATTAGATGAAACATTACACCATCTCTCTCCTTGTCGTCACCCACTATTTAATAATTATCAATATCAACAACATAAAAATCATTAGATTTATTATTGAAAGTAGCTCAAAAGTAAAACAATCCAAAAAAAATCAAAGTTTCATTATTTAAAAATTACCAATACAAGTAATAAGCACTTAGTTGTGCATTTTAGTGTCAAAAAATAAATAAAATGAGAACTCAAATAGAATAAAATACAAATCAAAATTTTATTATCATAATGAGAAACAAACCCCTCTATACAAAACTTATCTTATAGCTTTAGAAACCGGCTCCAATGACAACGAGTAATAGAAAATAGAAAAAAAATGTATTCTCTATGTTTTGCAATAAAGTTTTTCCTACTATGAATGAAAATAAAGAAAGAAGCAGAGATCAATTATTGTCTTTAAAATGAGGTGTTTATGGTTATGTGAAAAATGAATATTAGGGTTTGAAAAAATAAGAATTGTTTTAAAAGTATGTCCACTACAAACCACGTTAATATTGTTTTAATTTCAAATAAAAAAATTTAATAAAAAATCTGTGGATAAAACCTGTCCGCCCTCGACCCGTATTAAAAATGAGTTAGGTAGGACATATCAACTTAAAATACTGAATCAAAAACCTCGCTATAACCCGCAAAAAAAAATGGTGGGTTAAACAGTTAACCTGTTTTGCCAACCCTATAAATTATATAGCTTCACACGTTTAGAATGAAAGGAAATAATTAATATTAGTATACAAATATTTATTAGTGCAAAAAATTGTAGCATGACTAAAATATGCTATCAGAACCAAGTCCTTACATGCTAGAAATTAAAAAGAACTGTTGAGAATAGACTTGTACAAAAACTTGTAGCATGACTAAAAAAATACAATCAGAACTAGTCCTAATTATTTTATAAGCTTTAATTTTATACGTTAGAAATTCTTCGTTGAGAATAGACTTGTACATGTGAGTTAGAGATGAAATTCTAGATTTGTCACCATTATTTTAAGTTGCATGTTTATTACTTCTTAACCATAAAATAGATGATGGATATCATTTAAAATATTTAAGAAAGTAAATTGATTTAAAAATGTTCAAAATTGAAAATATGGACCATAGAAATCATGTAGACCCACTATCAGTAATATGGTTCAATTTGGTTTATAGTATGACAATGAAAACTTTACTGTAAATATAATTACTGATTTTAAATTCTTCAATTTTAAAAAGAATTAGAAAACAGACAGAAAAAACTAAAAATACAGAAATTTAGAAAGGACTGTAGTAATAGCTTTGAGTCCATACATTAATTTACTGACTCATGAAAAAAATAGAACGGAATACGGTTAAACGAGTAGATTCATCCAATTCCCAATACAACATTAATGATCTAATGACATGAAGATTGAAGGCCTTATAAGTCTACAATAACATAGTGTAGATGCTAGTTCATGCAAAATATTATGGCCATCCACCAACACTAAGCTGTAGCCACCATTCCATAGTACCAGCAGATCATGACAATGTGACAGAATTTGGTCATCTTACTGACTGAGCAACTTTGAGTCACATGCCACTATTTTAACCCGTCCAACATTCTCTTGGCTGTCTTCATTCTTCAACAAAGCATCTTGTAAGATGAAGGTCCAAACATTATCACAAAATCTGTATGTATGGAGATGTCCCTGTGATTGAAAAGAAACAGAAGGAAATTCAGTGAAAAGAAACAGAAGAAAATTCAGTGAAAAGAAAAGGGAAATAATCACAAATGTAAATCATGTATATATGCACCCAAACAAATTGGCAAGATGATATGGCACCCACATCAAAAATAATACTCCAGTCTAGGAAACAAGAAACTGTCTCTTTTCAAAATGCATTCAATCAAATTCATAAGCATTCGCACAATATAGTGAAAGAAAAAATGGTGCCAAATCATAAAACTCCACTCTCATAAAACTATCTGGCCATCTTAAACTATGTTGAAGCAATGAGAAAAACAAAACTTCACGATAGACATTGAACGGTAATTCCATTATGTTGATATTCTGCTACAGTCCTCTGAACCAAAATAAGAAACAAAAATTCTAGAAAATTCAAAGCTCAGGCTAACAAAAGATATTATGGATGGATGACCATAATATCTATCTACCAAGATATTATCGAGATATTATGGATGGATGACCATAACAAAAGATATTATGGTCATCCATTCATAATATCTATCTACCAAGATTAAATTATTTTGTAGTTAGAGTCGGTTAAATCAAAGGTTTCCATTTTTGTTCCCTATATAGTCATCATGAGAACCAAAACAAACCCGTCAACTGCATATTTCCACAAAGAAAATTGCTACATAAAAAAAAACCAACATGAGACACAATAGTATACAACCTCCCTATTCAACAAAGTCTACTTAGTACTTGGTCTTTCCTGATCCCCACAAAAAGAGATGATAAAATGATTGAGAATAATGTAAAAGATGGCAATAAATAATATAGTCCTAATAAAATAAATGATATCATTGGTAGTCAAAACAGTGAAGTATAGAAGTCGTGACAAAATTAAAAAGACATATAGGCCGACTTCAGACCTGGCAAATGAACCTCAAATGTTCAGAGCTGTAAATCTAAGTAAAAAGGTAAGTGTGGATGAATAGTCATGCCAACACAGTCCATTTGAATCTAGTGTAATAAATTTTAAGTAAAAAATGACAGTATGCATAACCATATAAATTAACAGTCTGTTTCAATATAACGTGTTATGTTTTAAGTAAAAAAATAATAATAAATAAATAACAGTATGCATAACCATAAATTAAACTTTGAACAAATCTATTTTTATACTCAACCAGGACAGAAGTCATGAAAATAACCAAGAATCTAAATAGAGAATATAAAAGAGGCGTGTTCTTGGAGAGGGTATGATCTCAGAGGGAAGTCTATGTGTAAGAAATTTATATATTTCAACACTAATTTTGATATTTCAACATTTTAGAGTGTTTTCTGAATTTCCGTGTGTCTTGGAACCCCCATAGAACAAAATTTGCAAATGAATCATGAACAAAAAAACATGAGGAAAATGGGGAAAAAAGAAAATGGCGAGAGAATTCTAAAAAAGAAAAGAAGAAAAAGAGAGGTCTTTTTGAAGGTGTGGAATGAAAAATATTCTGCAGCTTTAAACTCTTAATTGAAATTACTTAAGTCCCTTTATATAAAAGTTACTGAAACACTGACGGTAAAACTCACCATAATAATATGCACCCAAGTCTACACGATTACATATAAAAGCCACTCTTTGTTATACAAGTATGCATGTTAATAGCCATTTCTTACAGTCATTGTAGGAGAAAATAACTACATATATGACAAAACTACTTCTATTGTTATTATTATTAGTACTAATATGTATATATACTCTCCATCCCTTTTTATAAGCATCCCCATTGCTTATTTCACATAAAATGAGAAAAGTTGGTAATATAATAAATGCCTATATTTCATATAACTATTACTAATTAGCCCTCCGTATAGATGTATTCAAAATTGACTTTTAGTATGCCAAAACACATCAGTAGTATTAATTCAGGTTATGTTTGAAAAAAATAATAAATGCATCTAGTAGTAATTTAAGAGAAGCCTTAGATTTTGCGTTTTTCGCTAATGGTACTTATAATTTAGAACTGAGGGAGCATATATTAAAGAAGGGATCAACTAATATATTGTCCCCATTATTTAGTTTTACTGGGGTTATTTACAATAAGTTTGCTAATTACTCTCACTTGATCCCCAAAATGTTGCGGCAGGCTTGCTGCAAAAATAGGTTCACAGTGGTGGCCCAGAATGTTATAATAACAGAAAAAAGAGAAAAGTGAAATAATTTTGTTATAGATTTATTTCAATTAACACAATACAATAGATCGCTATATATAGGTCAGCATAGCTAAGCTAACCATTTGACAGCTAACTATATCATTATCTATTTATCTCTAATAGTCCCCCTTAGAAGCTGAGGATGGTGCTTCAAGGAGGCTTCTTTTGTTGAACACTAAGTTTGTCACGCAGAGGGATGAATTTATCAGCAGAGAGGGGTTTTGTAAGGGCATCTGCCCACTGATCCTGTGCAGGCACATGAACAACAGTCAGACTTTTGTTGAGAACCTTTTCCCTTACAAAGAAAATGTCCAGCTCCAATGCTTTGTCCTATTGTAAAGAATAGGATTATGAGCTAAGGTCACTGGACTTAGGTTATCACATAATATTTTAGGGTTCTGAAACTGGCAGTGAAGTTCGGTGAGAAGGGATTGAATCCACAACATTTCTGCAGCCAGCTGAGCCATACTCCGGTACTCGGCTTCAGCACTGGATCCTGCCACCAGTTGCTGCTTCTTTGACCACCAGGAAATAATGTTGGGACCTAAAAACACACAAGCCTCTGAGGTTGACCGTCTATCATCAGGGACTGCTGCCCATAGTGAAGGGTACCCCTGAGGTACCTGAGTATTCTTTTCACTGCTTTCCAGTGTTCCTCCAAGGGATTTGACAAAAACTGACACACTTTGTTGACAGAAAAGGATAACTCAGGCCTGATCAAGGTAGCATACTGAAGAGCACCAACAATGGATCTGAACTGGGTTGGGTCTGAAAATGAGTCGCTGCTAGAGACCATGGGAGTGGGCATTGCATTTGCAGTGGACATATTCACTTTTTGTTAAGAGTCCCACATCGGACAATATATGGCATGAACATGTGTTTATAAGTGGGGGCAATCCTCACTCTACCAACCGGTTTTGTAGGGTTGAGTTAGGCCCAACCACGTTTCTTAACATGGTATCAGAGCTTCGTTTAAGATCCGGTGGGCCACCTTCTATGGTTTCCGCTATCGGGCCACCCACCATTTATTTCCACGCTTCAGTTGTCCAATCCTGAGCGTGAGGGGGTGTGTTAAGAGTCCCACATCGGACAATATATGGCATGAACATGTGTTTATAAGTGGGGGCAATCCTCACTCTACCAACCGGTTTTGTAGGGTTGAGTTAGGCCCAACCACGTTTCTTAACACTTTTGTAAGCAGGTCATTCACATACTTGGCTTGAGAAAGCAGTAAAGATCCATTGGGTAGGTAGTAACCTCAATCCCTAGGAAATAGTCCAGCTGACCTAGATTCTTAAGGGCAAATTGTGTGTTGAGACTCTTGATAAGGTTGGCATTTAACGCAGGAGAATCCCCTGTGATGATGATATCATCAACGTACACCAATACCTTGCTAGTGTGTAAAAAGAATAAGCTAGGATCACACTTGCTGGCCTGAAGTCCATACTGCAGTAGTGAGTTTTTGAGCCTATCAAACTAGGCCCTGGGGGCCTATTTTAACCCATATAGAGCTTTGTTAAGCCTGCACACAAGAGACCTGTCAGTAGCTTCAAACCCAGGCGGTTGAATCATATACACCTCTTCCTCAAGGAGCCCATTAAGGAAGGCATTATTTATGTCAATTTGCTGGATTGACCACCTATTGGTGACTGCATGGGTGAGAACAGTTCTGACAGTAATCGACTTAACGACGGGAGAAAACATCTCAGTGAAATCACTACCAGCTTTTTGATGAAACCCTTTAGCAACTAACCTTGTCTTATATCTATTAATAGAGCCATCAAGATTCTCCTTGATCTGAAAGACCCACTTGCAGCCAATGGGGTTTTTAGTGGCAGAGGGAAACACTAAGGACCACGTCTGATTTTTCAAAAGGGTCTGATATTCATCCTGCATTGCCTGAAACCAGTGAGGAGTAGACAAGGCTTGTTTAACTGATGTAGGTTCCATATGAGTTAGAAGAAGTGTGGGATGAAGTTTGAGCTTAACAATGTCACTTTTGGCACGAGTTTGGGATGAACATTGAGAGGAGTGAGATTAGAAAGAGGGGCACTAGAACTGGTGGGGGATGCAGAACTGGAGGCAGAATGGTTTGTGGCAACAGAATTGGGTAGGGAGGGGGGGAGATGGTGCTGGCCTCAGCCAAGTCAGTAGGGGCAGAATTAAGGGAAGAAAGGTTGGGCTGAGAGATGTGGGGTTGACTTAGGATAGAAGGAGAACTTGGCATAGGATAGGTAGGAGTGGCAACAGGCAAAGTATGAGTAGGTGGAGAAGACAACAGACTCATATTAGGAGCAGTAGAGGGAGGAACATAATGTAGTTGAACATTGAAAGTAGGAAAGGATGGAGATGAGGCAGCAGATGGAGACCAAGCTTGAGAACTAAAGGAACTTGAGGGGGGAGAAGAAGAGGTGGGAAAAAGCTCTAGATAAGGAAACCTAGTCTCATGAAAGAGAACACCCTTAGAGATGTATAACCGACCATCAGCTACAAGACATTTATAACCTTTATGAACAATGGAGTAACCTAAGAAACTCTTGGGGTCGAAAAGCAAGTTTGTGAGTATTGTATGGTCGAAGAAAAGGAAAACAAGCATAAGCAAACACACAAAGACTTGAATAATCAGAAGATTTGTGCAATAATATGGAGTATGGAGACTGGTTTTGAAGGGAGGGACTAGGCGGCCTATTGATAAGATAGGCTGCAGTGACAAAAACATGATCTCAGTACTTGAGTGGCAGCTTGGAATGAGCAAGCAAAACCAGACCTATTTCAACTATGTGGCGGTGTTTGCGTTCAACTATACCATACCATTTTGATGGTGAGTATGGGGACAAGTAAACCTGTGAAGAATACCCAAGTCAGTAAGGTATTTGGTGAAGGGTTTGAATTCACCACCTCCATCACTTTGAACCCCTATAATTTTGCAATTAAATTGGAGTTCAACCATGGTTTTAAAGTGAATGAATTGAGTGAGTGTCAAATTTTAACCTAAGAGGAAAAACCCAAACAAATATGGAGAAAGCATCAACACAGGTGAGAAAATAAGTGTAACCACCAGAAGATAGAATGGGTGCAGGACCCCACAGATCACACACAACAAGTTCAAAGGGATGATGGTAGATAGTGGTGGATAGAGATGAGGGAAGCCTGTGAGACTTGCCTAAGCAGCAAGTTGCACATAAGTCATTTGAAGGTTTACGAGGAATAGGAATATGGCATAGTTTGAGAGCTTCAGTAAGGGCTTGGTGACGAGGATGTCCAAGTCGTGTATGCCACAAACTATACTTACTGTTAGATATGGAATTATAACTAGGCACACTTTGAGATGAGCTAGGAGTATGAGCATTAGAGATATTAGCTATAGGAGGAGTTTGACAACCAGAAACAGAAACAATTTTATTATTATAAGAATCAACATTACAAACAGATATACAGTTGCAAGTAGCAGCTGAATTACATGATGAACTAAGATTATTACAAGCACTAGGATTATGAAACTGAGACAGGGATGAAGCAGGATTGGCAAATCTGTAAAGTCTATCAGCTCCCACAGTGCCACGAAGAAGGACCTCAGAGGAATCCTGCAATTTGACAAGACAAATTTGAGGATGAAACTCAAAGAAAACTCGATTATCTTGTGCAAATTTGCCAACACTAATGAGATTTTTAGTGATGTGAGGGACAAGAAAAAGATTGTGCAGCATTAGAGATGAATTAGACGGGTTGGCTAAGGGAAATTTCATGGAACCTGCAGAGTTAATTGACAAACCTTGGCCATTTCCCATGAATACTTGTTCAGCTCCAGCCAATGACGATGCATCAGATACATTTGAAGTCCCAGGCGTGACATGGTGAGACGCCCCTGAATCAAGATACCACCACTGATTGTTGAAGTTAGGGATCTGAACCTGTGAAGAAAGCCTAAGGTTGAGGATGCCTAGGTGGTGTTGGCCTTGGAGCAGCAGCATATCCAAAAGATGGAGGATGCGAAGGGCGTGAAGTTACCATGAATGGATTGAAGGGAGCGCGTGGAGTGACAAAGGAAGGTGCACCAGAGTAAGAGTATCTATGAAAGCATAGAGATGCGTCATGTTCAATCTTGTGGCAAACTTGACATGAGACCTTTCCAAATCTACCACCTTCGCGTCCAAACCGGTCGCCACCCGTGTACCATAGCCATGATTTTCAGCATTTACCATCACATGACTAGTTCCAATAGGAAAATTAGGGTTCGAATCTGCACTAGATACCTCCGTCGAGAGCGATGCTGAAGACGGCAGAGCATGAGTGAGATTCACGGATACAAGTTCAGAAACTACAGCTTTTCGATTTTTCTCAATGCGCGATTCGTGTGCTAGAAGGCTTGATTCGAGTTCGTCCAGCGAACACAAATCCTCGTTCACTGTTCATCGCAGCAACAATTGAATCATATTCTTCAGGGAGAGCATCAAGAACAACTTCAATGAAATTACGAAGAGGAACCGGATCTCCGATCGAAACTAAAGATTCACTGATTTCGCGAACACGAACAACAAATTCAGTAACCGTGCGCGATCCTTTCGTCAAATTGCGTAACTCAGATCGGAGTTGTCTCGCCTTGGTGGTGAGCAACGTATTGAAATAGCGTTGAACCTCAGACCATACCTGCCATGAGTATGTGCAATCGACGAGTTTAGGAAGAAGAGAATCGGAGATAGTGGAGAGCAACCAGGTGCAAATGAGCGCATCCTGTTGCTCCCCGTCAAGAAACGCTGGATTTGCACCACCTGTAACAGGATCGACGCCAGGAAGAAATCGCGGAGGAACAAGTGGCGACATCACGAACCGCTAAAGTTTGTGGCCGCGAATCACACCATCTATTTGTTGTTTCCACTGTTTGAAGTTCTTATCATCCAATTTGACTGAGATAAGATGTGAGAATTTGACGTGAGATGAGGGAAAAACACCTTCAGAACTGAATGGAAATGCCATGAAACCCTAGATCGAGAGAGAAGCTCTAGATACCATGTTATAATAACAGAAAAAGAGAAAAGTGAAATAATTCTGTTATAGATTTATTTCAATTAACACAATACAATAGATCACTATATATAGGTAAGCATAGCTAACCATTTGACAGCTAACTATATCATTATCTATTTATCTCTAGTACAGAAAATATGTGTTCACTTTGGTCGAATGCTCCTCGGATCACCGACCCAGTGTTATTAATATCAAATGACGGAAAATAGCAGATTGCCAAAAATCCGATATTAAAAATTGCAGACAGCGCAATAGGTAAATAACGGAAACCATAAAGCGGTTTAAGTATAAATAATTGTATATAAAACAGCATGCTCCATACAAATAAAAGTTGCATCAACATGAATTAAAAAAGTAACTAACATAAAACTCAAAATCTCAAACAACTAATAAAGCATGATGCATAGTTGCATACATTGCATGAAGGAGATGAAGGAACTTAGTGGAGAATAGAACAGTTATTTAATGATGGAGGCTCCGCGGCTACCTTTTTTTTTTTGTTGAGGTGGTGAGATGTGTCTTTACCTAGGTATAGGTAGTGAGGTTTTACTGCTTAAGGTAATATATAAATCCCACTTGTTTTAGAAGAAAGCAATATTTATGGTAATCAACGACAAAACTTTTCGAGCAAGTCATGGCCAGAGCAAGGTGCACTTGGAAATTTGTGAATGAATTTCAGAGGACTGACAGAAGAACTTCGTGAAAAAGTGAGGAATAGAATCATGAAAACTTCCATGTGATGTGTAATCAAATTATACTTTTAACCATGAGAACAAAGGTGGGGATTTGGAATAACTAAAGATTTACTCCTAGAGTAATTTCATTTATTTTCTCCCCCTCTCTTAGGTTTCGTTGAAACCAGTGTAATTCATAATTACCACCTCTAATAACTTTCTACAAATTAGTATAAATTTTCTCAACTCCATTATTGGAATAAAAATTCAAATAAAGAAATCAAGTCTATCAAATTTCACACAAATTGAAAGGTAAAAATTATTTGACTCACTCACCAATTAGATAGAAAAGTAGAGACTAATCAAGGCAAAGATCAGATTGAAAGTTCTAATTAGTAGATCAGGTCTATGAAACTTCATATAGATTGAAAGGTAATTGTTAACACGAATTTATGTTTTATCTTATCAACTATTTTATTGTATAACATAAAATTAACGAAACATAAATTCAAGTATGCATACGTGCATGTCTGTGTAAGTCAAACAAATCCAACAGCAGTGGTTAGTCATATACTTAAAGTGGCATGTAACTCCAGGAAAACTTCCCCTCATTAGTTTGAATTTTGGCATCATAAAAATTTGAATGGCCGACACAGAGGGCTACTCTCAAACTCTGGGCAAAAACACTTTCTGTGAGTGTGTGATGGAAACAGCAGCCACTCTAAAATTTTCTCCATCTTAATATATAACTACATACATTATATGATAATAAATGTATATACATGATTTGATTAGCTTAATGACTAAACTTGTTATGTGGCGCAGTGGCACGCACAAGGTTATGTAAAAACCGAGGACGTATGTTCGATTACGTGTTGCCCCTTTTTGGTATTTCTAATTTATATTGTATTTTTATTCATACAAAGTTTTACCACTGCACCAATTAATGATTTGCAACAATAAATTGAAATAGTATTACATTATATTTTTTGCCCCCACCCAACAAAATTACACAATCTCTACCATTGTGTGAGGACAAACCCAGCTTAACTTATTGAGCCTATAATATACACTACATCATTCAGGTACACTCCAAATAGCAAGAGCTCAGAATACAACCAACAAAAGAGTAAACACCCCTAAGCAACAACAGTAACCAACATTCCCCATATAAAAAACTCAACACCTTACATTATTTAAAAATTGTGAAGCACGGATACCGGAAACACAACACTAACCGATAATAATTTGAAAAATGGATAAATTAAAGGTAATCACAACAAACTGAAACCCACACTTGTGAATGACTTCAATTTGAAAAATAAATAAATTAAAGATAATCACAAGTTTTTTTAGAGGTATCGAAGCTAGGTCTATTTAACAAAAGATAAGCAGCAAAAATAATAAGCAGTGTTACCTTGATAGAAACCTTGCTCTTAACTTTGGTTTCCAGAGCCTCAGTCATAGACTACAAAACAAACATGCAAATAAAATTAATTAAATTAAATACATAAAACCAACATTAAACCAGATCTAAAAACCTAATCTCCTAGCATCATCTCCAAAACCTACCTTATCAAACTGAACCAGAACCTGAATAGCAAGCTCAGGACTCAGAGTTCCACTCTGAACCATCTCATCCAAAGTCTCGGTAAGACACATTCCAATAGTAGACCTGCGGTAAAGTTCGAACGTCGCCATTCTACCTTGAAAAAGACGATCTACATCGAATAACTAAGATTTAAACACTTGAATCGATCGCAGAAACAAGAAATGAAGGAAAGAACGAAAAGATAATGGTAGCGATGACGCAAATTATGCAAATTCGATGAAAATAACAGAGATCTAGGGTTTGGAATTACGAATCGGAAGCGACGTTAGAGACTTTGGAGCAGCGTTGTTCTCTTCTTTCTTCTGAAAGTGCTTGTTTGAGTTAACGTTCTCGGTTCAATTTTGGGAGCGAAGAAAATTGGGACTTTTTATACTCTATGATTTGGAGAAGAGGGTATATATAGAGAAGGTTGGAGAACACATTGCAAGTTGCAACTACCGAACGTTTTGGTCACGTGTGATGCTGCGCGTGAAACTCGCTCACTATCATAAATATTAGTCAGAGAAAAATAAAATAAAATCTTATCGCTAAAGTATATCAACGCCATAAATAAGTAAATAACATCTCTCTTGTTTTTCTTTCATTTCTTGTTTTTACATCTCTCTAATTAAAGGGTAATAAGATTAAGAGAGATAAACGTTAATGATAAAGAGAGAGAAATAAAAAAAAAAATCTAGATTCACGAAATTTAAAGATATAATTCATTTATTACTATTGAATGATTAATGTAGTTTAAATCTAGTGCTATTAATATTATTAAAAAACTATTACTGTCATACACCATCAATTCTTAATCATGTTTTTAATTTTTAATAAGTAATTTAACATTAGAGAAATGGGATTAATAGCATGATTAAAAGTCATGACAATTTTAGTAGTTAACTTTAAGTGCTAGGTATGATGGTAAAATCCCTCCTCAAGTATTTTAAGTCAAGAGTGATAGAAAAAGACTTCATTCTTATTATTCTTTCACTTTCTAAAACTAAATAATAGAGTCTTGAGAGAGTAGAAAAGAAAGGGAAGAAGCCTGGAGAGAAAACGAATAGGAGAAACTTAACCTTTGTTGAAGCAATCTCTTCACATGTGAATAAAGCCCATGTTTCTAGAAGAAAAGCAAGCTAAGGAGTATCATAGGCAAAATCATCATCATCTCATTTCCTTTTTCAATGAAAATTTTAGATTCTACATTAATTAAGGTGGTGTTCTTAGGAATTGGTTGGGTTTATCACATATGATGCAGGATGAGATTTTAGGGTATTTTCTTAATGATTAATGTTCTTGAGTGAAATGTCCTAGAATGTTGTTGTTGATGATGATCCAAAGAGTGTTAAATTGACATATTTTGCCGGTGTCCATTTTCTTATCTAACCTGATATGTGAATATGATTTTCATTTGGTTAAGATTAGAGAAATCATGAGCAATTATGAGTTGGCTTGTTTGTTTTATATGCCATGTTTAGGTTCTTGAGAAACTTCAAAATGTTGTATGTGAATTGATGCATGCTATTAAAATATATTGTGTCTCGTTATACAATACATTACGATAATGATTATGCTAGATTTGTGGCTCGTTTGGATTGAAAAAGCAAGAAGAAAACAAAATTCGGGCCCGAATGATGGGCGTCACTCTTCGTGACGGGCAACCCGTCGTGCCTCAGGCCCAGGTGACGGGCGTCATGCCTTTACAATTGGCGTCCATGTTCCTCGGGTCGAAATGACGATCGTCATTTGAGGTGATGGGTCAGTTGACAATTTTCAACCTCATGACGACCAGCCGTCATTCTTTCTGCCACGCATCATGCTTGGGTAGGAAAAATGACAATTTCTCAATAGGGAATCCTTTTTCGACCTACTATATGATACCTCCCTGTGTTTTAGATTAAAATGGCATGGTTTGTGCACTATTAAATATGGTGAAATGTTCCTAATAAATTGAAGCTATGTTAATGATTGTGTGATTGTTCAATGAAATGAAAAGGATATACTTAGACAAGTGATAAAACCCTAGTAGCTTTGGTTCCCTAATCGAAGATATTATAACATGTATGCACACCCTAGTTGGTATGTGATATACTTAATTGATTCAAGGTAAACCAATAGTGAGTATGTGTGGGGAATATCAAGGCTCTAAAAGATTATTAAGAAATTGTTAGCGTTATCAAGAGAGGTTAAGTTTGGAAGTCTATAATCTGAGGTCAAGCTTATGAGAAGTGGTGACCGAGGAAGGATGTTTTATATAGTGATGGGCTTGAGAGACCGAGGAAGGATGTTTTGTATATGATAAGCGGTTACCGGAGAGAGATGTTCCATGCAGCGAAGGAAGTCATTGACCCATGACCATGCTTATATTAAAATTTGTAGGCGGGGATAGACGTTCCTAGCTTAGTATGAAATTTGTAACCCGTGTCCAAACTTATGTGGAAATTTGTGGTCGGGGAAATATATTCCATTTATTCATTATCTCCCGAGGTAGACATTAGGTTATATGAACCCGGATAAGAATATCCACACACCATATGAGACTGAGTGGAAATTTGCATGATCATAGGATAAGAAAAGAAAGAGAAGAATTCTATGAATATAATAGAGTATGAGAATACCTTGGTCGAGCGTACTTATGGTGTAGATTAGACCTCTACTAAGATAAGTTATATCTCACCCCATGTTTATCATTTCAGGTGACTCGAGTAAAGATAAAGGTAAGGAAAGATATTGTGAAGACTTAAAACACCATATTGTTTGTTTTATGTTTCTGTTGTGATTCTCTATTTGGTTTTGTTTAGTTTTGACATCCATTTTGTATATGTACTATTTTCTAGAACTTTGTAATGTACATGTTTTGGATGTTATCTAGGCACTATGAATGTAATCGGTACCATATATAACTCTTTAATGAATATGATTATATATGCATATTTATATGGGGTGTTAGGTATAAGAGTAGGTTGACCCTTGACCCATCCATGAGACATCATTAGTTAATTTTTTCTCCCTTATGTGCGTGTATTTCTGACATGATCTTTAATGTCATACTATGTAGTGTAAGGCCTGATCAACTTAATTTCTAAATGTGTGACTGGAAGGATCATGGTTGAGAGACCACGAGGATGTGAGAGGCCTAGGAGCACTTGTGCTCAAAATATGGAACTGGAACAAGAGGTTCGGAATGATGTGAATCAATGGGCTCAGTTTATACAACAACAGTAACACCAACTGCAGATGCACTAATAACAAGAGTTTATGTTGCAAATGATGCAACAGATGCAAGGTCATCCTCAAACTCAAACCACTCAGCAAAATGTAGGAAGTATGGACTTCTTAGGAATTCTACAAGATGAATCATCCTGACTTTAAGGGTAGTTTTAACCCTCTTTTGGCACACAAATAGCTTAATGATATGAAAATAGTGTTCCAAGTGGTTCCTTGTAGAGAAGATGATAAAGTAACATTTTACACTCACATGTTGAGAGGTCTAACACCAAGGTGGGAACATTTCAAAGTTGTGTTCCTAGACAAATATCTTCATGAACATTTAAGAGTTCAGAAAGAGTTTGAGTTCCAACAAATTCGCCAAGAAGCCATGTTTGTAGTGGAGTATGCAACAAAAGTTAGAAGACATGACGGCCTAATCTAATCATGTCTCATATGCTCCTAATGAAAAATGGAAGATAAACCAATTTATGTTTGGACTCTGAGGATAGATCAAACATTATGTTGCACAACATCAGTTCAACGCCTATACTGAGTTGTTGCAACAATGATATGTTGCCAATAATAGATTAAAGAAGATTTGAGCAGAGAGAGATCAAGCAAGACAAGATTAGAAGGATCATGGTAGCTATAGTCATCAGTTGAAACCTAAGGGATCTTCGTCTAAAGGAAAACAAGCTCAGGGTGCGAGAGCAGTGCAACCCCTGCAGTGTCAGACGTGCAAAAGACCCCATTTTGGAAGATGTCAAACTAGAGTATTCAGATGCTATTGCCAAGAGGATGTCCATTTGGCAAGAGATAATCCCAAGAAAAAGGTCCAAAAAATGGTAGGAAGAGGAGTAGGTCAAGTTTATACCTTGGTTGCTAAAAAGACTAATGGTAACAATAACTTGATAGCTACTGCGTGCTACTTGCATGACCAAACTTTGTTTGTTCTATTTAATTGTGGAGCGTCACACTCCTTAATTTTAACCAAGTGTGTGCAACGAATTGGATTAAAAGCAATCCCTTACCGTCTCCAATGGTAATCACCACCACAGTGGAAAACAGTGTAGAAACTCAGTGGGTCTGTGAAAATTTCCAGGTGTTCATGAATGGTTATGTGTTCTTAATTGAATTGATATGTTTTCCTTTTAAGAAGATTGATGTGGTATTGGGTATGGATTGGCTCTACGTTAATTATGTGTACATTGGCTATAAGGAGAATAATATATTCATTCCTTCCAAAGAGGGTACCCTAGATGATATGATGTCCACACTTTTGGAACACTACGAAAAATAAAACTTTTTATGACGAAACTTTCACCTCGACATTCTAAAAACCAATCGTATAGGTCCTGGGAGTGACATGTTTGATTTTTTCTATAAAAAAACCTTTTCCCTCGGTTTTATAAAAAATCGAGGTAATATAGTTATAAGTGAGCGCCAAATTTTCTCCATAAAAAAATAATAAACCTATTACCTCAGTGTTTTTGAAAATCGAGGAAATATAGCTATAAGAGAACATGCTTCGAATAAATGTAACTACATTTAAGGTTTTTTTCCAATGATTTCTCACTTGACGACTTCCAGTCTTCCCTTTTTTTCCTAATTCATTTTTTCCTTTTTTTTTCTTATTAATTAGTAATTCTCAAAAAAATTGTTATCAATAAAAACAAATAGGCAATAATATGAAAGAAAATATTTCATTAATTAAAAATAGGACAACAAATAATTATTCCACATATTCAAAATTCTGACTCCACTCAACTTCAATAGTATCACTATTAACTATCTCTAACTAAGAGAAAAGTTCAGAAATAACTCTTCTATATGGTATGAGGAAAGTCATTTCCTCCTTAGAGATGATTATCATTTCCTTTAAGAAGTTAAAAATGGT